TATATATATATATTAGTGATACTCAATTGCCATTGGGCTTTCAAACTCACAATTTTCATCTTGTTTATTTCGCAGATTGCGTTTCTACGGAACTTGGGTTGCACTGTCATTCCTACTTCGCGCCTGCATGCGTCGCGTTTGATCGAACAATACAAATCTCTCTGAAATGGAGGTTTCTTTGGCATATGCATCGATTATTTTATTTACATTTTTTTCTTTTATTTAAGCAGCATTTCTATTCAGGACAATTTATTTGTCATTCTAAATTATATTCAAAATCATTATTTGTTTTTCAGCCTTCTGCTATGGTAAATAAATTACTTAGCTCTGTTCTTAAATTGACTCTCTTCTTTGCATGCTGATTGTGATATGGTTCATGGATCCTTTCGGCGGCCAAATTTTCTTGCATTCTAATCTCATCAGGACTGAAATTTTGGAATACAATTTTCAACAATTTGTGCTGATTTTGTCACCATGAAAAAAAATATATATATAAGAGAATTAAGTTATTTTTTTCCCACTTTCCTCCTCTCTGACTGAGATCCTAATCGGAAGGAATTGAAGAACGGAAGCTTTACATACATACTATCCAATTTATATAAATTTACATTTCTAATACCAAAACCTCGACTTCTACATGCATACCACCTTACTATGCATGAAAATGTGTATTTCACCTTTTAAAGATTAAAAATTAGGGGTGTAAATGAGTTGGGTCCAGCTCGAGCCACCCATGGCCTGAGCTTGAGTTTAATTAATTTTATCGGGTTAAAGCTTGATTCTAAGTGTTTGAGTTGGTTTACACGTGGGCTTCTTTATTATTAAGGAAAGAAAATAATTTTAATTTAAGGTAGTGTTACAAAGAAAATAAGCAATTATGAGAGAAAAAGTATAAATCGCATAATATAAAATATAAAATATTATTTTTTTAATACTTTTAATATTTTGACGATAATGTCCTTAAATTTAGTATATTTTTGGATATTTTATATTAGTATTTTTTAATCTAGCATGCTTGAAAGCTAATGAGTTGAGTTGGAGTTTACTTGGGCTTGGGCTTGTCTTGTTAGCTCATTGAGTTCAATCACGAGCCGCTTATTGAGCCAAGCTCCAGCTGCACTTACTTGCACTCTTTGTTAAAATTATGGTATTGCTTATGTGGTGTGAAAGATTTGAGGGGTATAAATATAAAAAATAATATTGAAGTTTCATGTAAATTAATAGGAGTTTTGTAGTATTTATACAAATGCCCCACACAAGTTAGGCTTGTGATCCGGCTAAACAAGTGTTTTGTTTAGAAATTGTTGTTCAAAATAAAATTGTGGCTTGGATACATTGTCATGGTATTTATCAGTGTAATATATAAACGTATAGTAATTAAATTTTTTTAATGTGGCTTCTAACATCTTTACTTTTGTTGTGATAGATATGTAACATCTTATAATTGATTAGTGGATAATGCATTGTATTAGATAATTGGCTTTGTTCTCCATGCAAAAGGCTGCATTTGAGAACGCATGATTTTTAGAATATTTGGTTGAATAATGATTAAGTCTTATTTGAATTATAATTTAAAGATATTTAAAATTTATTCAAATTATAGTTTTGTTTAGTTTAAATGTTTAAAATGTTTTTTAGTTGTCCCAACAAATTTGAGTATAATTCAAATTTGTGTATATTGCTTGAATAAATTTTGAACCGTGCTTAAACTCGTAAGTAGAGTTTGAAATGGTATAGACATAATTTTGACATGGTATTAATTTTTTTCATGGTTCAAAATAATGCTTGATTTTATTGCTAAATTTAAAGGTAGGGATAGCCTTTTAAATCTAAAAATTAAAATATATCATAATGTGAAGTATAATTTTTATAAATTCATTGGGATGATTATTATATCGAATAAAAAAAGTTATAAACTCGGGAACTAAAATGATCCCGATGAATATTTTGACATTTTATTCATTTGAAAAAAAATAAAAACCATAATATAGTGTGTAATCTTTAATACAATTTAATTTCATTGTGGCATCTATATCCAAATATGGGTGGACTCATAAAGGGGCCATGAGGGGAATTTGCCGCCCTTAAATTCAATTTTTTACTTATACGTGAGGGAAATTTAATCTTTTTGCTCATCCTGAAATATCAATTTTACTTCTCCTCAATAAATTATTTTGCCCTTCCTTGCCTTAGATCCTCCCTAGTTTGGTTTAGGGTTTAGGGTTTAAGATTTAGAGTTTTTTTAAGGTTTAGGGTTTAAGATTTAGAGTTTTTTAGGGTTTAGGGTTTAGGAATTAGAATTTTTTAGGGTTTACGGTTTAGGCTTTAGGATTTAATGTTTTGGGTAGGGTTTAGGGTTTAAGGTTTTTGGGTTTAGGGTGGTTTTAGGGTTAGAAGTTAGGGTTTAGGCTTTAGGATTTAGGGTTTAGGGTGGTTTTGGGGTTAGGAGTTAGTGTTTAGGATTTAGGTTTTAGGATTTAGGTTTTAGGGTTTAGGGAGGTTTTGGGGTTAGAAGTGAGTGTTTAGGATTTAGGGTTTTTAGTGTTTAGGGTTAGGGGTTTAGGGTTTTTAGGGTTTATGATTTAGGTTTTTGGGTTTAGGTTTTAAGGTTTAGGGTTTTTAGGGTTCAGGGTTTAGGGATTAGGTTTTGGTGTTTAGGGTTTAGGGATTAAGGATTAAGGATTAGGCTTTAGTGTTTAGGTTTTTCGTGTTGAGGGTTTATAGTTTATAGTTTAGGGTTTAGTGTTTTCAGGGTTTTATGGATCATAGATTAGAGTTTAGGGTTTAAGTTGTTCAGGGTTTAGGGTTTAGACTTGAAGCTTAGGTTTAGGGTTAAGGGTTATGTGTTAAGTTTTAAGCTTTAGAGTTTAGGGTTTAACGATTAGGGTTTAGGGGTTAAGGTTTAGGGTTTATAGTTTGTTTAAAGTATTTAGAGGTTAGGGTTAAGGGTTTAGAGTTTAGGGATTTGAGGGTTTAGGGATTAGGGTTTAGGGTTTATGGTTTAAGGTTTAAGGGTTAGGGTTTATGATTTAGGGTTTGCGGATTAGGGTTTTTAGGGTTTGAAGTTCAGGGTTTAGGGTTTTTAGGGTTTGGAGTTGAGGGTTTAGGTTTTTTTGGGTTTAGGGTTTAGGGTTCACTATTAAGGTTTTAGGGTTTAGGGATTAGAGTTTTTTTAAGATTTAGAGGTTTTTGGGGTTTAGGGTTTAGCCTTTAGGGTTCAGATGTGTAAATACATAGGAATTGGGTGGTGTGCATGTAAATGCCTCAATTTATAAATACATAATAATTATTATGTATGCCCATATCTCACACATAAACTTTTATATTTATACATATAATACTCAAATGTTCAACATCACATAATAACAACATTATTACTGAAGTTTTTCGCATGAAATATAAAAAATTTAGGCCCCAAATATATAATTACATAAGAATTGTGTTATTAGTTTTGTTAATTTCCCTATTTTATTATTACTATTTATTTATTTATTCGGTAATGTTCAAAAGTTGTCTCAGATTAGGGTTTAGGATGCGTTAGTTATATCTCCATTCCTAGCCCTAGCCGCCAGCTTCTTCCTTCCTCTCGATATCATCTCTTGCCACCGGTCCTCTTTGCTATTCCCAACCCTCTCGACACCACCACATTTAGTGCCATAGATTTATGCGTTTTCTCCATGGATTGGCACCCTTCTATCATGTACATCTGAGTCAATCGCTTGAGTAAGGTTTGCCGAAATTATTTTTTGTTTCCATTGTTTTGTTGCGCTTGGCTTTCCATCTTCTTGACATCGGGATTATGGATGGGAGATTGCTGTGATGACTCCGAAATTTCAAGCTCAACAGACCGGATTACATTGTCTCTCCTTGAGAGATCTGTATGTCGACTACCCCGCTGAACTGAGCTCTCCTTCTTTCGACTTGTTCTTTTTCGTCAGAGTTTATTCTTTTGATTTCTGTTTTTTTACGCTTCTTTAATTGTATTCCGGATTTGGATTTGGATTTGTGGCAAGGCGGCTATGATGATAAAAGAGCTCCCTCTTCTGAATTAATATTGAGGACTCTTGCTGGCAGAATCGAACCACTTATTTTAATCGCCATCACTGAGTAAGCCTTTTTTTTATAACAATCCTTCATCTCGCTTTTCAGAAGAGTTTTCCGTTTGCTTTAGCCGTTTTGAAAATCGTATTTAACTGTCAGATCTCTGATCTATACATTTTACTAATCCGATAGTGATGAAGTAATGTAAGCATAATCCAACACTTGAACTGAGGACTTCACCGTCCAGGTGCTGAATCTCATTCATTGCTTCTGAATCTGTTTTCACACTCATTCCCTCCAGATTTAAATTCATTGCTGTTATCATGATGCTCTTAAATTGGCCAGTTTTCATTTGATGAAAGCATAGAATTAATCTTAGGACACCTTCCTACACAACTCACCAACTTGGGTTGTGGATGAGAAAATTCTTTGTAATTCTGATGATAGTATGGCCATTCTGTGCTGTCTAATTTTATCTGTTTTGTTTTTAATGAAAAAATAAATCATTTTGGCGTTGATGCTGTTGAACTACTGTGAGGAAGCAGCGACCTTGGATATAATGTGCTGCAAGGCACTGGAATCAACTATTCCATATCCATCACTATTCTTTAATTCATTTGACAATACCACACTGTTACAACCAAGGTATAATTTTTATACTTCTATACCTTTGTGTCATAACCTATGCATGGATAAATCAATTTCATATTTAGAAGGATAGTGATGCTGGTATTTTTATATGAAAAGTTAAAGATTTGAGAGGTGTGCATGAAAATAATATGAATATTTTGGTGTTTGATATGTAAATACAAGAATTGTGTGGTAGGTATGTCAATGCCTCTTTATGTCAATTTATAAATGTAATCAAAGTATTACTTTGTTAGTTTTGGGGGCTGTATGGCAATAGATGAGACTTAAAGTTAGTGGGATTTAGTAAATCATGTAAATTCTTTTTCTTAAAACATGTCAATGCAGTCAAAATCTGCTAGGTTTTTATAGTCAATTAATTTTCTATTTTAAATTATGCAATTAATAATTATATATTTGTTAAATCAAAGTAAATTTGTTAGTTTTATGGGTTGTATTGCAATCCATGAGATTTAAGTTAGTAGGATTTATTGAATCCTAAAAGTATTAAATCTCAAAAAATTATTTAGCTAAACTAATTATATATATATATATATATATATATATATACTAGTCAATCATTTCTTAAAAGATTTCAAAATAGTCAAATTTTACTAGCTTTTA